CCCCCCAGCCCCTCCCCTAGATCTGCCACTGGATTTACTAATGAAACCGTTATTAGTGTTGTTAAACATAATATGTTGAATTGCAACTTAGTCACTTTCTGTTTATGCATCTACCTCTAAACTAGTTTACACACAAGTGACACATTTTCTAAACTGAATTGAGAACGGGAACGACGTTTTCAGTGCGAATCTTCCCATTTTTAGAGTGAAGTCCATAGGACGGAGGACTTTTGAGGTTAGAATATTGGGAAAGGTACTCCAAGTGAGCGAAATGCTAGTTCCTGAAAGAAAACATGGCCTTCAGCTGTCAGTATTATGTGTAATATTTTCGTCAGCTGGACGCAGTATGATGACATACTAAAAGACCGTAACTGAAATCTGTCAAACTTTTCATTGTTAACTCTGTTGACTTCTTGTTGAGGTGGCTGGGGGCTTATATGAACTCCCCTGCAGGGTAGGTAAGGCAAGTAGCCCTTTAAAAATACTAAGAAATTGCTTCTCTCCCACTCCCCTGAGATTTCTTTGGTACCTATTGTCTTTGGGCTTTTGGATATTCTACTGGGTAGGGGAAAGTTTTGTCTTTTTTTTTATCGCAGCAACAAACGTGGCATTGTGTATCGTGGTTTGCCCTTTTATTCTAGACGGCAAAATTCTGTACTCAGAACCAACACACCAGTCTTTAAAGAGTTCGAAATGATAAGGAATAAGCATATTGAAGACTTGACCAACAGCTTAAAGGGAGATAATGACTTGGGCAACAATGCACGATGCAGATGGACAACAATGCACGTTTGGATAGCACATTAATGTACTTTTGGAGAACGCCTATATCCAAGTCACTATTTTTTACAAACACGATCTCTATGATGTTCACCTGTTTATAATTTTAAAGTGAAGCTTGCTGACTTCGCTTTTTCCATTGGGAACTGCTCTTTATATTCCTACTTGCCAGAATTTACTTACCCCCAAAATACAAAAAAAATGTGCAACCCCATTCTAGCAACTCTATGGAAAATGCAACCCCATAATAATCAATCCAGTCATGAAAATGAGACCCCATCCAGTGGCACATCCCCATTCACCTACATAGGGAGTACCCATCCCCCCTGCTGGCCTTAAATAGCACTTTCGAGTTTTGCTTGCCTAGTCTTTTTAGAGAACAGTATATATAAATTTACTTTTGCATTGTTGTCTCAAGGGACACATAAGTTTTCCTTAGTTCGCAGTCTCTATTCGGGTACATTTCACACTTCCCTTACCTTGATTCCTTAATGCCCTGAATATTTGTCTGATTTGAATGTACATGTAGTATCATTCAGCTGCACATTTACATTACCAGTTTGCGAGATCTCATCAATGCTTACTTTGTCTTAAGCATTAATAACTTGGCAGTAGAGAGTCCTGTAATAGATCCTCTTTTCTGAAAAAAGGAGAGCACTGTAAAGATGGCCAATTATTGAACAAGAGGAGAGAGTGAAACCGGTCACTTTCTTGCTTTTATAACGACCCTAGAGCACTGATAAGGTCTTTAGGGAGTTGAAAATATCATAATGAATTCTGTTCTGAAATATTTTGATGTTTATATTTTAGTCATTTAATATAGAAGTGCCAGAGCCATTTTCCAGTATGATGACAAGAGCAGAGAAGGAAAAGTGGAAGCGCATCAGAAACACGCTGACTCCAGCATTTAGTGGTCTTAAGATGAAGCAGATGATGCCTTTAATGAATTCCTGTTGTGACACTTTGATGCGAAAGCTTAGCAAGGTTGCAGACAAGGAACAAAGTGTTGACATGTTTAAGTATGTGTAGAATGAATTTTTAAGGCAATAAATAATATAATACAGTCCAACCTTTATGTATAGAGACCGCCATACAGACGGACATCAATCTCCACATTTCAGACAGTTTACCTGGGCTAATTACAAGAAGCAAAAGATATCACAGACTGCCTTAAAATATGAATGTTCTGGGTTACCCTTTGTTGCCTAGTTTTATCACAGTGGAACGCCTTTATAACAGGAAGCTTGCAGATCATCGAAGCTTAAAACCACCCTTTGTTAGCTTAGAAGGTGTCAGGCGACCATATTGGTAGACTGATGAAATTCTAAGTAATTTATTGTGAACTATGGTCCATGTGAGGTACAGGAATTATACAGCATTCTGGAATGTTCTGCTGTACATGTTTTTTTTTTTTCAAATAGGAAGGGTTTTTTTAAACACACATGATTCACAATACTACCTAACATTACTTGCAATACTAACATTACTAACAATAGCGACATATTTGCTTCCAAAACCCTAGTTAACATTACTTGCAATACCAACTCTACTTACAATACTAATCAATATAACTTACGATACTAACGTTAGTTACAGTAGTGTGTGACATTACTTTACCTTGTGCATATGGCTTGTTGCACCGGCACTGTTTATCTTGCAATATCATAGGCCATGTAAGCATATACCAGTAATTGGCTAGAATATTTACTCAAGAAATTAAGGGTTGTAATTTTATTGTATTTGAAATGTATTAATGTTGTTGTTGTTGTATCAAGCAAAGCCACAAAATGTTTTGTTCTATGATTAACATGGAGATCACATTTTCAGGTTTCATCAAGCTCTTACAATGGATGTAATAATTTCAGCAGCATTTGGCATTGAGGCAAACCCTCAAGAGAATCCTGATGATCCGGTTGCCATGGCAGCTCGTAATTCCATGAATAGAAGCACATTTGAGAGGATTTTGCTGAATGTCCTTTCAGTTATGCCATTTGGAACTAAAATAATTTCAATGTTCCCAAACTTTTTGATGGCAAATAGTATGCCATTACTTAAGATTGCTGAAGAAATGGTGAACATAAAGAGAGCAGGAAAGGCAAATTTGTCTAGAAAGGTAATTTTGTATCGTTATTATTAATAGTTAATCTCAGGGCTCAAATAAAGTGCTGCCCAGTCATTCAGGACAAGTAGATTTTCCTGCCGTTTATTTTCACTTGCCCAATGGGCAATGGCCCCAGCAATTTGTCTACCAACTAAGTAAAAAAAAGTAAATGAAGACTTACATAGGGCACGCAAAATTTGAGAGCTACACTGACTGTACTTGTCTGAAGGGCAGGCTGGAGTTCAAGTATTGTTTTAGCCCTGTATTCTTAAGTAGATATATGGTGTATATTTTTATTTTTCTTTAATCCAAGGCAGCTTAAGAAGGTTATGCAATTTGTTTAAAAGTTTACCAACTAATATTAATGTGGATGCATATATTGCCAGCTTCAAGCAAAGAACCCAGAAAAGTTATCAACTTGGTTAAATCTGCTTTAAATAGGTGGAAACAAAACAAGAATTTTTAACACTGAGGATCAGAACATGATCACTCTGCAAAGGGTTTAAGTCCTTAAAATTTTTTTACCTATGTATATAGACCAGATTTCATGTATAGTTACATGTAGACATTTTCTAGCAGACACCTACATGTACATAGAATGCGCAGCCCTTTTTATTGCCATGTCAGGTTAACTTGCTGTAATCAGGGCCAGGTTGTTTGGAAGCCAGTTAGTGCTAACCCAGGATTAAAAGTTAACTGGAGGACAAATTTTTCTTGTATACAAGGGATTTTCACTGCTTATGTTTTGTGTATTTTGAGATTATTCAAACTTAAAACAGAAGGCCAAATAATGTAAACAGAAAATATCAGCGCAAAGTTACAACACTCAAATCAAAATTCTTGCTTATCCTGGGTTAGCTTAATTGGGCTTTGAACAACCCGGCCTAGGAGCTCCACTTTTAGGCTTGGCTAAATCTATATATTATAATTGTATCATTATATCACAGGACATGTTGTATCAGAACTACTCAACGCGTGAGGTAACGTCTATGAGAGAACTGGATACCGTATCTATAAATAACTTGAGAGGGGTTACGTTGAGGATAAGGCCTACATGAGGATTAACTCTCTTCCTTTTATCCTCTCTTGGCTGTCAGAGCATTCAGCAAATGATTTCATGTCGAGTATCGAGCACGCCATGATATAAACTATTAGAATTAGTCCTTGAGACATTTATCAGTATTTTTCAGTATTTTTTTTTTTAGATAAGCTGATTTTTTTCCATTTACCTCAGTATCGTGGTTAAACTTCTTATTACTATAAACTGATAACATTCCTTCAGAGTTATTGGATATGAATTCTGTGTGATCAATAAATCAATCAATCAATTAATCACTCACTCACTCACTCACTCACTCAATCAATCAGTTAGTCAAAAAGCATAGACTATTGCAGCATTGTGTCTTCTAGCCAACCATCAGGCCAAGTAATCGCTACTTTTATCACTATCACTACTTTTATTAGATGCATAGACGCAATTAATAGTAACTGTATAATAATATAAAAATAGATAAATATCACTAATTTTATCATTATTACTACTTTTACAAGATGAATAGATGCAATAAATAATAATACATGTATCACTATGATAATATAGCTTAAATATCTGTGTAATCAATCAATCAATCAATCAATCAATCAATCAATCAATCAATCAATCAATCAATCAACCAGCAAATCAATCAACCAATCAATCATTTAATCAATCTTCTGGCACGGTTCACGAGCGAAAAAATAGCGAATCACAGATCAGGGATATAAAAATTTCATTTTCCCGAATCACGAAAATAAGCAAGTGAGGTACGTACTCTTGTTAATAACCTGCTCTTACGCTAGAAAGAGTGCTTCAAGAAAGCAAAGCCGTGAATGGCTAAGTAAAGGCTCTGTATTACAAATCGCATACCTAAATCACTTTCGACAGGCGACTCTAACCATTCGGAGGACTCTAATCTCAAAATCACAAGAAAGGAGTGGTGAAATCACGAATATCGGTTAGTAATTCAAGTTCTACACGGGTCACGCAACGTTTCACGGAAAATAAAATCAGGTATAATCACGCATCTCAAGAATACCCGGAGGTACTCTCTTATATGGGCCAAATAGGTATGTGCGGCCCCAAAGGGTATGGTTTTTCAGCTGTTTTGGTCACAAATAGGGTATCGATTTTGGTGATTTTGGTCATAAACAGGGCATGGTTTTTTGACACTCTCTTCTTGAATTGGATATGTTTGTTAGAAGAAGCTACTTTTTCATCATTATCGATAAGACCATCAACAAACGCTCTTCATAACTTATGTTCAGTTAGGGCAACTTAGCCAGCCGCAAGGGTCGTAAATAGGGTTTCGAATGTTTTTGGTCAGGTCATAAATAGGGTAGCAAAAATGCCAGATTTAAGTCATAAATAGGGTAAGGGTTTTGGGAAGTGGGCCGCACCCCCCCACCCGACTTTCTGGGAGTACCCCCCTGGAAAGAATACCCCTGTACGACCCTCTGAATAGTAAGTTAAAATTAAGGCCATTTCTCAGCTATCAATTGATTTTGACAATACTGTGTTAAGTTGCATCAGTGTCCATTTCGTTAGCCGATGATTTTCAGTGACTTGAAAACTGCTTGTTGCCTCCCTTATTAAACGTGAACTATTAAACAAAAAGAATTGTTTTTCTTAATAGCCTGTCTTTTGCAAGGAAAGGGGGACAAGAAAGTACGAACGTATGTACACCTGAACCGACATGGACAAAAACACAATATATTCCATGAATGGTCTTAGGCATTTCGAAATTCACCAAACACCGGCTCTTTGCCCCCTGTAAAGAACATTCACGAAATCTTTTATTGCGTAAGAACTTGTTTTGTTTGTACAGATACGGCACAGCTTGATATAGCGCGTGATACCACATGAATATAATCAATTGTAAATTAGACTTTGATCAGCCCTTTTGCGAAGCGGAGACGAGAACACGATATCGCGTTTTTACGACGTTTTATGTTGTAAATAGGGACAAATTTCCAATTAAACGGAAATTATTTCAAATACAATCTCGAAGTTTATTAAATGGCGCCCCACGTTGGGCGCCATTTAATAAACTTCGAGATTGTATTTGAAATAATTTCCGTTTAATTGGAAATTNAATTAATTTTGACAATACTGTGTTAAGTTGCATCAGTGTCCATTTCGTTAGCCGATGATTTTCAGTGACTTGAAAACTGCTTGTTGCCTCCCTTATTAAACGTGAACTATTAAACAAAAAAGAAAGTGCGAACGTATGTACACCTGAACCGACATGGAGAAAAACACAATATATTCAGTGAATGGTCTTAGGCATTTCGAAATTAACCAAACACCGACTCTTTGCCCCCTTCTGTCCCATTCTGGTCGTCGATCTGTGGTGTGGATGATCCTGGCATGCTGTTTCTGGGTGCCAGGGCTTCACACAAGCGTTCCTATACTTGGCACATACTGATATTTGTGCAACATTGGCTGGTAACATTTGTAGAAATCCACTGACTGTTTCGGTCCTGGGGTCCGTTTCTCGAAGGTCCCGAAAAGTGTTCGCCGCACCCGGAAGGTCGTGGCAAAATCTCAAACCTTATGATTACAGAGCTGTTTTATTCACATATTCTTAATATAAACAAAGGTTCCATTCCGTACAAGAAGTTTCAAGTGTATACACCTGTCTGTCTTTAAATACCGTTTAACAAAAAATGGCTTTTCAGGGCCGAAAAGTTTCTGGGGCCCGTTTCTCGAAAGTCCCGGAAACTTCTCGGGCCCGCAAAGCCATTTTTAGTTAATTGGTATTTAAAGACAAAGAGGTGTATACGCCTGAAACTTATTGTATGAAGAGAACCTCTGTTCAGATTAAGAATATGTGCATAAAACAGTTCTGAAGTCGTAAGGTTTGAGATTTTGCTACGGCTTTTCGGGACCTTCGAGAAACGGGCCCCTCAAAGGTCCCGAAACGTTTTCGCACCCGAAAAGCCGTAGCAAAATCTCGAAGCTTATGCTTACAGAGCTGTTTTATTCAGCGATTCTTAGACTGAACAGAGATTCTTACCATACAAGAAGTTTCAGGCGTATGCACTTCTCCGTTTCTAGATACAGATGAACTAAAAATGGCTTTCACCCGCTTTTCATTGCTTTGATTTACTTTTGACGCAAGTCTTTGACAACAGCTGTTCAAGTATACAAAAAAAAGAATCTAGCTAGTAAGCTTTATATCCGGAAGTTTAAGTTTATTTCGATGGTAAAAATCACAATGTTTCACTGAAACTGCTCAGATATCGAAATTTTTTGTACATTGATTTCTTTTAATAGTTGTTAAGAAAACAACTGCAGTCTTGTTTATATATATATTTCAGACTCCGATGTCATCTATGCTATCGTGGTTTATGTTGTCAAAAAAAAAAGATAAATAAATATATACTGCAATGTCAATATCTAACTTAACAAGCTTTCAAACCCACAAGAAATCAAAGTTTAACCCCTAAGTTATCGCTTCTGTACCCGACTTCTTGGATCCTTCTTGACATGAATTCACTGTCGAATTCAAAGTTTGGTGCACAGTTTTTAACGCGACCGCTCCGCGCCAGGCTAAAGAATGGCGGGAAAGTTGGTGCACGCGCGTCTCTTTTGGCGCCAAATAACTATTCTTTGCCTCGCTGTCTCAACTTCACGATTTCCTAAAACACGCAAAGTCATTGTAAACTGGACGAACAGATTTCATCGACATAAAGGGAATATAAAACCTATAATATTTTGTTCACTGGGGAATGATCTCAGCTAAACTGAAAAGAACATCAAGGTAAGAGTAGTTCACGTTCAAGAATTTTCTCGTCCGATCGATCTATTTCCTAGAGCTTACACTAATGTCTATAATCGTTGGTTATTATTAAGCTTATCATTGCTGTTTTAAACAAGCTATCTAGAGCTGTACCTACAGTAACACTTCTTAAGTTTCGTAAGACGGGGGACATTTCCAGCATTGATAGGGCCTCTGGGTCACTAGTTTCTCCAACAGAACAAATAGTTAACGCACATGATACCAAATTTACCATAAGCTTACATTCTTTTAAGTAAGACAAAACTCTCTTGTGATGTATGACTATCATGTGATTGTCATACTGCCCTCCACTGAATTATTGCGTGATAAATATAAAATTCCTCAATATTTCATAAAATGAAGGAACATTTACCTCTTTTTCTGAGGATATCATCGCTGGAGACCCTTTATGACCTTTTGAGTAAAGCACACATTATAACCCAGATTTTACATTGTGATGAAAAATGTGTAATGGGAACATAAAATGAGGACAATAAGGACGTTTTGTTTTTAGTATTGGTGCTAGCTTTGACAGTTGAAAGTTAGGGCAAGAGTAACGCTAGGGTTACCCTTCCCTAGCCCAAACCCTAGGGTAAGCATTAGGGTTAGGGTGAGATTTTCTTTACTCTTTTTCAATCGGGATTCTACTGTATTTTCGGAATGAAAATAGTTCCATTAGGCGTGAGAATTGTGAACGTTTTTGGTTTTACTGCGATTTGAGTGCGTTTGTACAACACTCACGCTTTCGGGCATTGTGTAATTTTTTTAGGCAATAAGGTCACCAACCCCCAAGTCTGAAGGTGCCCGTACGACTATGGTCTTG